GATGCTTGACATCTTTTGTTCTTTAACTTTGGCCACTGGCCACGTGGTTTGGCAGCCATTTTGGATTCAGGGTTTTCACAGTGTCTTCGAACATGGACGGCGTCAGAAATTGGTGTAGAACATCCCGGGACGTTCTGGGACACATCACTGTCGTAGAGGCAATGTCTCACAAGAGTTTCCTTACTTTAGACGGCATCGGTACAACCAAACCAATTGGGGATTCGAACATGGACGAGATCGGAAACAGTGTCAGTACTTTATCTATGCAATGCGACAGAAACCCGGGGTCCTGGCCAAGTCAGAACACTCATCCGTTTGACTGTAGCTCAATGGACAAGGGAGCTACGCTCCCGGACTAGTTGACCACCAACCACCCGGCCTGCCACCCTGCCTGTCACCCTGCCACAAGCTGCCGTACAGCAGACCTCTGATTAGCAGACCTTCGAACACTTGTTACTCGGAAACTACTGGTCCGATTTCGACCAAATTTCGTGTGTGTATGAAGAGTGGGATCGTCAAGATTATGATGGTAATCATATTGTCCTATTGTAATTGTTTGATTTATTATTAGGGCTCTATGCCCCGGGACACCCTTGTACACGTCAATTTCGTAGCGGCGTCCTTATTTGACGGCATTGGTACAAAGAATCCATTTGAGGATTCAAATATGAACAAGAACTGGAATGGGTTCAGATCACCCAAATATGCTCTGGCTCCCGCCAATTTTGTCAAAACGGACTGATGACACATGAAGTAATAAATTACACTATAACATTCTCATGTGCACTGCATTTATAAAGTGGATTCAAATTGACTGGAACTAAATGATTTATTGGTATGAGGGACGGTCGGGTAGCCTTGTGGTTAAAGCGTTCGCTCGTCACGCCGAAAACCTGTCAATTCCTGACATGGGTACAATGTGTGAAACCAATTTCAGGTTCACCGCCGTGATATTGCTGGAATATTGCTAAAAGCGGCGTAAAACCATACTCACTCACTTACTAGTGGCGTGAGATGTATTTTGTCCCGCTGCTCTGAAACCGTTACTCCGATTACTTTGACACTCTACGTGTGCCTGCTGCTTTAGATGCTTGACATCTTTTGTTCTTTAACTTTGGCCACTGGCCACGTGGTTTGGCAGCCATTTTGGATTCAGGGTTTTCACAGTGTCTTCGAACATGGACGGCGTCAGAAATTGGTGTAGAACATCCCGGGACGTTCTGGGACACATCACTGTCGTAGAGGCAATGTCTCGCAAGCGTTTCCTTACTTTTGAAGGCGTTGGTACATGCAAACCATATGCAGATTCAAACATGGACGGCGTGTAGAATGGGTTCAGGACATCCCAGAACGTTCTGGGACACATCAATGTCGTAGAGGCGATGTCTCACAAGCGTTTCCTTACTTTAGACGGCATCGGTACAACCAAACCAATTGGGGATTCGAACATGGACGAGATCGGAAACAGTGTCAGTACTTTATCTATGCAATGCGACAGAAACCCGGGGTCCTGGCCAAGTCAGAACACTCATCCGTTTGACTGTAGCTCAATGGACAAGGGAGCTACGCTCCCGGACTAGTTGACCCCCTACCACCCGGCCTGCCACCCTGCCTGTCACCCTGCCACAAGCTGCCGTACAGCAGACCTCTGATTAGCAGACCTTCGAACACTTGTTACTCGGAAACTACTGGTCCGATTTCGACCAAATTTCGTGTGTGTATGAAGAGTGGGATCGTCAAGATTATGATGGTATTCATATTGTCCTATTGTAATTGTTTGATTTATTATTAGGGCTCTATGCCCTGAGACACCCTTGTACACGTCAATTACGTAGCGGCGTCTATATTTGACGGCATTGGCACAAAGAATCCATTTGAAGATTCAAATATGAACAAGAACTGGAATGGGTTCAGATCAACCAAGAATGCTCTGGCTCCCGCCAATTTTGTCAAAACGGACTGATGACATATGAAGTAATAAATTACACTATAACATACTCATGTGCACTGCATTTATAAAGTGGATTCAAATTGACTGGGACTAAATGATTTATTTGTATGAGGGGCGGTCGGGTAGCCTTGTGGTTAAAGCGTTCGCTCGTCACGCCGAAAACCTGTCAATTCCTGACATGGGTAAAGTGTGTGAAACCAATTTCAGGTTCACCGCCGTGATATTGCTGGAATATTGCTAAAAGCGGCGTAAAACCATACTCACTCACTTACTAGTGGCGTGAGATGTATTTTGTCCCGCTGCTCTGAAACCGTTACTCCGATTACTTTCACACTCTACGTGTGCCTGCTGCTTTAGATGCTTGACATCTTTTGTTCTTTAACTTTGGCCACTGGTCACGTTGTTTGGCAGCCATTTTGGATTCAGGGTTTTCACAGTGTCTTCGAACATGGACGGCGTCAGAAATTGGTGTAGAATATCCCGGGACGTTCTGGGACACATCACTGTCGTAGAGGCAGTGTCTCGCAAGCGTTTCCTTACTTTTGAAGGCGTTGGTACATGCAAACCATATGCAGATTCAAACATGGACGGCGTGTAGAATGGGTTCAGGACATCCCAGGACGTTCTGGGACACATCAATGCCGTAGAGGCGATGTCTCACAAGCGTTTCCTTACTTTAGACGGCATCGGTACAACCAAACCAATTGGGGATTCGAACATGGACGAGGTCGGAAACAGTGTCAGTACTTTATCTATGCAATGCGACAGAAACCCGGGGTCCTGGCCAAGTCAGAACACTCATCCGTTTGACTGTAGCTCAATGGACAAGGGAGCTACGCTCCCGGACTAGTTGACCCCCTACCACCCGGCCTGCCACCCTGCCTGTCACCCTGCCACAAGCTGCCGTACAGCAGACCTCTGATTAGCAGACCTTCGAACACTTGTTACTCGGAAACTACTGGTCCGATTTCGACCAAATTTCGTGTGTGTATGAAGAGTGGGATCGTCAAGATTATGATGGTATTCATATTGTCCTATTGTAATTGTTTGATTTATTATTAGGGCTCTATGCCCTGAGACACCCTTGTACACGTCAATTACGTAGCGGCGTCTATATTTGACGGCATTGGTACAAAGAATCCATTTGAGGATTCAAATATGAACAAGAACTGGAATGGGTTCAGATCAACCAAGAATGCTCTGGCTCCCGCCAATTTTGTCAAAACGGACTGATGACATATGAAGTAATAAATTACACTATAACATACTCATGTGCACTGCATTTATAAAGTGGATTCAAATTGACTGGGACTAAATGATTTATTGGTATGAGAGGGGGTCGGGTAGCCTTGTGGTTAAAGCGTTCGCTCGTCACGCCGAAAACCTGTCAATTCCTGACATGGGTACAATGTGTGAAACCAATTTCAGGTTCACCGCCGTGATATTGCTGGAATATTGCTAAAAGCGGCGTAAAACCATACTCACTCACTCACTAATGGCATGAGATGTATTTTGCCCCGTTGCTCTGAAACCGCTCCTCCGATTACTTTCACACTCTACGTGTGCCTGCTGCTTTAGATGCTTGACATCTTTTGTTCTTTAACTTTGGCCATTGGCCACGTGGTTTGGCAGCCATTTTGGATTCAGGGTTTTCACAGTGTCTTTTGGGTACACATGTCTTCAAAAGTATACGACTCTGAATCCACCACATGAAATGCTACCAAACTTTCTGAGATTTGTCTCCGTACACAACATATCAAACATTGATATATTTGATGGGATAGTTATTAGTTGCGGCCATATTTGATTTTCATACCCCCCGGCGTTCCATAAACTCATCAAAGGCCCCAATCAGCCATAATCCCGTTGTTTATATTACTGGCTTCATCCTTTGTTTCTGTCACTGACTTCACCGACGATTGTCATCACTACCCTTTTGTGTACATAACAGGCTTCTCTACTCCAGTATAACAATATCTACTCTACTGCATAAACATTGCCTCCTACTTGTATAGATACTTGTCAACCACACTCTATATCAGCAAAACCACACTCTGTATATCACTTGCTTGATAACTGTGATAGAACCTAAACCGAAACGTCACTCTTAATTGTAATAAAGAAGTTGTTCATCCATAAATTCTTATCCTCACTTAGTACTCCAACTTCTAAATGCCTATCAAAGAAGAAGTCAGTGAAATATCAAATTATTAATAACATTATACAATACTCTTATGCACTGTATTATTATAAAGCGGATTCGAGTAGGCTGAAACCATATGACTCAGTAATTCTCGAAATCATAGAGCCCGACATCGCTGCCCGCAGCTATATTCTTCTCTTGTTGTTGTTGATATTTCTGAAACTGTGGATTATAATTTGAAGAAGAAGAATGTTTAGCTAAAGTTTCGCCCAATTTATTTGCAATATCTGATTTTTCAGTCAATAAATTATTGTCATCTTTTAGATGACGAATACTAGGTTTGGAACCTTTGCCTTTGATTTTTTGGATCATATTCCATACCTTTGACATAGGCGTGCGAGAATTGATTTTAGAAACATAGTTCTTCCAAGACTGACGTTTATTGTGTTGAAATGTTCGTCGAGCCTTGGCAGAATTGATTTTCAAATTGTTTAAATTATGTACAGTAGGATGGCGTCGAAAATAATTCTCTGCCTTCTTCCTACGCTTCCTAGCTTGTTTGCAGTCGTCAGTAAACCATGGTTTCCGAATATGTGGGTTCACAGAGGACTTAGGAATAGTTTCATCAGCTATGCTCTTCAGTTTGTCAGAGAACGATTGAATTGGATCAGGTACATCCATGAAAAGGTTTGGCTTCAATTTGTCAGTACATATGGTCTGAAATAATGGCCAATTGGCTTTGGAAAAATTCCATCGTGTGGGTTGCTGAAAATCAATTCCAACCCGGTTTCCCATGGGTCGAAAACAACATAAACCTTATAAGAGTTATCAACTCCACTCTAAGTAGCCCAAATAAACCTTAAAGGTAACATATTCACATTCTTTCACGATGACTTTCAGAAGTGTTCATTTTGATCCACGCACAATGACACACAATTTGTTTATAGGACGGACAAGCTCTGTAAAAGCTGTCCTCACACGCACGATACGTACAGATCCTTTTTTGTCCATCATGATCTCAATGACACGTCCTAGTGACCATGAATTACGAGGAGAACTGTCCGCCAGAAGAACAATGTCTCCAACTTTAAGATTGGGCTTCTTTGTTACCCACTTTTGTCTTTCTTGCTGCAGTGTAAGGTATTCCTTTACCCACCGCTTCCAAAAGATATCAGCTAAATACTGAACATCTTTACAAAATGTTCCTGGTGGCATCTTTTGACCCGACCGCAGAAGCAAAAGATTATTTTGCGTGAGGGGGTTTAGATCATGAGGATGATATGGTACATCAGTGATAGGTCTACCATTGAGAATAATTTCAACCTCACAAAAGAGAGTACTCAGACCTTCATCGTCAAGCTTAATTGCTTGTTCCTGGACAACAGCATTAAGAACTTTCCTTATTGAACGGATCATACGCTCACAACTCCCACCATGATGAGATGCTGTTGGAGGGTTAAAATGCCAATCAATTCCCTTTTCAAGCAGTGATGAGTGCAACTTGGACTGGTTCAACTTCAAGATTTCTTCTTTAAGTTCACGTTCGCTGCTTGAGAGATTGGTCCCATTGTCTGACCTGATCACTTCTGGTTGACCTCGTCTTGATATAAATCTCCGTATAGCATTGATACAACTGTCAGTATCAAGAGAACAAGCTAGTTCTAAATGCACTGCTCGCATGGTCAAACATGAGAAGACCACGCCATACCTTTTCACATTTGCGCGACCTCGTCTAACTAGAAAAGGCCCAAAAAAGTCCATGCCTACATGTGAAAAAGGTGGTTTATCAGGTTGAAGACGATCATCAGGAAGGTCTGCCATCTGTTGTTGTCCAGTTGGCGACTGATACTTCTTACAAATGACACACTTGGAAACAAGACTTTTGATGACAGCTCCAGCTCCTAAGATCCAATAACATTGCCTCAAGTGGGTAAGTATAGCATTTTTACCCATATGACCTACAGCCGTGTGAGCATCTTTGATCAGCAGCTTTGACAAGGGAGAGGTTTTAGGCAATACAACTGGATGTTTTGAATCATGCGGAATCTTTGCTCTTTGAAGACGTCCACCAACCCGTATGATACCATCTTCAATGAAAGGATCTAACCTGTACAACGGACTAGATTTACTAACACCTCTTCCTTTCTTAATCTGGCTTTCTTTTCCTTTCAAAAACTCAATCTCTTTCATGAAGTTTTGACCCTGCACATAACGAGTAAGTGCAAATTCTGCAACCTTTAATACTGAAACTGTCAGCTTGGGTTTTGTCCGGGATAATTTTTCAGATCTGTCCTCCCCTGCTTCTGACTCCAATTGCCTTGCTTTCATCTTTCTTTTTAGCTCTCTGATAGTCAAGATGATCCAACCAACTGCCTTTCGGAGCCGTAGCCAGCTTGAATAGTGATTCAGTAGTCTGTCCAATATATTTTGGGACTGGCAAGTAACTAGACAACTTACAGAGTTCTTGACCTCTGGGTCCTCATCAGTGACAGATAAGTCAGGAGAAATAGGCCATTCGACTTTTAGTCTCCACAGAAAATCTGGTCCTTCAAACCACTGATGTGCATGTTTAGGTCATTCCCCTTGATGCTAAGTCTGCTGGGTTGAACTTTGTGTTGACATAATTCCACTGCTTGACTTCAGAACCTTCATGGATAGTGAGTGAGTGAGTTAAAATTTTACATCGCATCGGCAATATTGCAGCCATATTGCGATGAAAACAAGTTAATTATGATTAAATATCCGTCGACAAAGGACAGTAAAACAGTAAGTCATGTATCACAGTTAAGGTATAACACAAACCAGTTCACAATAAAAACAAAGAATTCTTCAGTAGATTTGGTACAAGTTAAAACTGGGCTATATACCTCTGGCAACCAAAGCTAGACCACCTAACTGGGGATCATGGGGACTTACAGTGCCTTAGCTTCCTGCATGATTCCCAGCAGGATTTATGTCATCACTTTGGGCACAAGTGGTCATCTTCAATGCTAACCAATATTAAAAGATCAAACCATAGTCAAGTAGTTAAAACACTAGTTGATATTACACACTTTTATTTAGATGGACTTGTGTGCCAGAGTCAAGAGGACAATAATTTTATCCTACTTTAACCCCCTGAGTAGCACCGCCTTCAATAATATCAGTAATTAGTCAAAATTTATCAAATAACTCTATTTCTTTTAAAAAACCGAGAAGTAAATGAACGTTGATATTATTAAAAAGATCCTTTAAAGACGTTGAATGATAATAAGTATCCCTTGTGAGAGAAAAGTCTATACAATCAAGCAAAATATGCTTGATTGTCATTCTCTCATCACAAGGGATGCAAAACGGAGGATCTTCACCTTTAAGCAAATATTCATGGGTATAACGGCTATGGCCAATGCGACATCGTCGTAAAACAACTTCATCGTGTCGTGACTGGCAACCCAAGTAGGTATATCCAAGAGTAGCTTTTATTGCATGCAGTTTGTTCAACCCTAACTGGGTATTCCACTTTGTTTGCCGTAAATGTCTGATATAATCTTTAATACAAGATTTAAAATCAGAGTGTGGAATCAGAATATTAGAGACAGACTGTTCAAGGGCAGCCTTAGCTGCAGCGTCAGCTTTGGTATTGCCCACGATGCCAACATGGCTTGGTAACCAACAAAATATGATGTCGCATTGGCTAGTAGACAGATCATTGTATAATTCTAAAATGTCAAGAATATATGGGTGATTTAGAGAGACATTGTTTAGTGCTTGAAGGCATGAAAGCGAATCAGAAAAAATGATAAATTGATTACTTTTAGATTGATGTTGAATGAAGTCCAAGGCTGTTTTTATAGCGTTTGCCTCAGCAGTGAAAATGGAGCTAGTGTCTGGGATTCTAGTAGATATGGTTTTTGGTCCAATGACAGTAGCACTGGAAACTTTGCCACTATCCTTGGATCCATCCGTGAAGATTGAACGATGGGAATCATATTTACGTCGTAATTGTAAATATTCCTGTTGGTATTCTAAATCATTTGTGTCAGATTTTTTGAATTGAGTGAGTGAAAGGTCCACTTCTGGTCTGACCAACTACCAAGGGGGAGTAGAGAGTAGTCGATAAGAAGTGATTAAATCTAAATCGATATTGGCAGCAATGACATGCGGTTGGATACGAATCCCGAGTGGTGGAACGAGATTCGGCTTACGATTGAACAGTTCCTCATAAAGTGGATTGAATACACAGTCAAACGCTGGGTTTGAAGGATTTGAAGCCAATTTTGTGATACATTTTAGACGGCGTTGTTGAAGGGAAGGTTCATCAGCCTCTGTGTATAAGCTGTCAACAGGAGATGTTCTAAATGCTTCAAGGCAGAGCCTGGTCCTTGATGGTGTATTGTATATAACTTTTCTAAATTACTTTTACAGGCTCCACCGTAAACAATGGAGCCATAATCAAGTTTTGACCGGATAAGTGAATGATATAAATGAAGGAGGGTTGTTTGATCCCCACCCCAATTTGAATTTGAGACAACTTTTAGCAGATCAAGGGCCTTCAGGCATTTAGCTTTAAGATATTTAATATGTGGTAGAAAGGTTAAATGTCTGTCAAATATTAACCCCAAAAATTTGGCTTCCTCTACAATTTTAATTGCAGTACTATCTAAAGACAGCTCCGGATCCTTATGAGGTTTATATTGACGACAGAAATGTATACAGTTTGTCTTGAATTTGGAAAACCTAAAACCATTTTCAAGACACCATTTCTGAATTTTATTTAGACACAGTTGCAGCTGTCTCTCAATGGTATGCATATTTTTACCACGACAAGATAAATTGAAATCATCAACAAAAAGTGATCCATCAACTGAATTATTTAAAACCTCGAAAGACTATTTATTTTAATACTAAATAACGTGACAGACAAAATACTGCCTTGTGGGACACCCTGATCCTGATTGTAATGATCAGACAGGGTAGACCCCACACGGACTTGAAATTGTCTGTCTGTTAAAACTGGGATACAAAATGAGGCAAGTGGCCTCTCAAACCAAAGTCATGTAGATCTTTCAAAATGCCATGCTTCCAAGTGGTATCATATGCTTTTTCTAAATCAAAAAAGATAGATACAGCATGTTGTTTAGAAACAAACGCATTTTTTATGAAAGATTCTAAACGTACTAGATGATCAATAGTACTACGGTTTTTACGGAACCGCATTGAATATTTGTAATCAGATTATTAGTTTCCAAATACCATACTAACCGATTATTAACCATTCGTTCCATTGTTTTGCAAACACAGCTAGTTAATGATATAGGTCTGTAATTAGATGGATCTGAATGATCCTTGCCAAGCTTAGGTATAGGGATAACGATTGCATTATGCCAAGAAGGAGGGAAATTTCCTGGAGTCCAAATTTCATCAAATATTTCTAAAAGTACAGCAAGAATAGATTCGGGCAAATGCTTCAAAAGCTGATAGTGAATATTATAAGCTCCTGTTGCTGTGTCATGAGCTTGCCCAAGGGCTGTTTGTAGTTCATGAAGTGAAAAGACTTCATTATAGTCTTCGCCATTTTCAGAGTTGAAATTAATCCCCTTCTTTTCCTGAAGGTTCTGATATTTTTGAAATTCTGGATGATAGTTTGACGAAGAAGAGTGTTTAGCTAAGGTTTTGCCAAGTTTATTTGCAATATCGGAATGATCTTCCAGGAAGTGATCACCTTCCATAAGATGATGAACACTTGATTTTGAGCCTTTGCCCTTAATCCGTTGGATCATATTCCACACCTTGGATATAGGTGTACGGGAATTAATTTTGGAAACGTATGTTCTCCACGAATGACGTTTATTTTGTTTGAAAGTTCGTCGTGCCTTGGCACTAGTAATCTTAACATTATTCAATTTATGTACAGTAGGATGTTTTCCGAAATACTTCTCCGCTTTCTTCCTACATTTTCTTGCCTGTTTGCAATCACTATCGAACCATGGCTTGCGAATGTGTGGATTTGCAGAGGACTTAGGAATGGTATCATTGGCAATTGCGTTTAGTTCATCTGAAAAGAACTGAATGGGGTCAGCAATATTCCTGAACATATCATGTTTTAGTTTATCAGTACATAGAGTTGTGAATTGAGCCCACTTGGCCTTTCAAAAATTCCATCTTGTCGAGGGTGGAACGTCAGATGGATTATTAACTGTCAGAATTGTAGAAAAGTGGTCACTACCACATAGATCATCATGAACAGACCACGAAAATTCATCCAAAAGAGTTGCATCTGTAAGTGAAAGGTCCAAGGCTGAATAACTACCTGTTGCAGGGTGTAAATATGTGTTGGAACCATCATTAAAAACACATAGACCATTGTCAGATATGAAATCCTCTAGCATGCCTTTGACGTTAGTGGTGCTACTTCCCCATAGAGGGTTATGACCGTTTCAATCGCCCATTATTATGCAGGGCCGAGGGAGCTGGTCATATAAGGACTGAAGCTCAGATCACTGAAGAGTGGAAGATGGTGGTATGTACAAGGAGCACAGAGTAAATGCAAGGTGCAAAGTTAAACGGACGGCTACAGCCTGAAGAGTAGTGTTAAGATGAACAGGACTATGTATAATACCCTGCCTCACTAAGATAGAGGAGCCACCAGTGGCCTTGGCACCTGGTGGAGAAAAGGAATGGTAAGCATGATATTGACGCAACTCAAATTTATCTGTCTGCTTCAAATATGTTTTTTGAAGACAGAAAACAGAAGGTTTTACATCTTGTACTAATAGCTGTACTTCATCGAAATTGGCCCTAAGTCCTCTGCAATTCCACTGAATTAGTGGACAGTTAGTGTTCATGGTACAGGAGGTGGCAGTATAGGAGATCTTTTCCTAGCCCGAGGCGAATGATCGTTGTTTCACGTTCGGGGGTGAGGTGTTACATCCATGTCCTCTAGTATCTGAAATTTGTTGAACAGTTGGACAGTATTACGTTGACCTTTTGGTACTCGATCGGATTTCTGTGAATAATTGAATGTCTTGCTGACATTTACCACAGAGGGAGATGGTGAACGAGATGTGGAACGAGACAGTGATTTAGATGGAGAATTTCTTTGCGTAGATGCAACAGATTGAGTATCAACAATAGAATACTCCAAGGTCTTAATCCAGGTGATGTCTGTCTGACATTCAACAGATTGAACAGATTTCGAGCATTTTGGAGCTGTACGGGTAACGGCTGCAGAATATGAGACGGCGGCAGTAGGAGTGGTAGATGACATAACCAATTGTTTAGCATCTGCAAAGGAAATATTCCTTTCATGTTTCAGTTTTATTATCTGATGTTGTTGTTGCCAGACAGGA